TAAAAACAGACTGATTCTTGAACTTGCTTAAAGGATCAACTGTCACGGCTGCTAAATATTCCATTAAAAAGGATCAAATACCATCTGAAACACCGAAGATCTGTCTAGTGAACCCTTGAAAGACCTTCAATAGAATTACTAAGTATAATGATCAATCTCTATGTATTACGCTAATTAGTGCACAAGGAAATCCTTAACTATACTCAATAATACCAATACCGTAACAATACAAACTTAAAGTGACAACGGATGGTAATATAATATAACAATGTAATACAAATAGAAAATTCCGTGAAGAATTATGGAATATCCTCTATGTGGCATGCCACTAAATATGCCGTTGTAATTCATGAAAGGTCATGAAAATCATCAGACTTACGCTAATGTATACTTCCAATACGGAAGAATGATTCCGTCGACTGTGCGTGCAGTAGGAGTTTGAAACTCCAACCAGGCCAGCAACATTGAGATCGAACTTTATGCGGCGAGAAACGTGATTAAGCCTGTAGACATGAACATCGCTAGATTAAACAAACAAGCATAGAAGATGGCAACCGTCAGTTTGAAGATTAGGAATTGTTAGAGGAATAACTGAACCCGTTACCTATGCTTATCAGTTATACATTTTCAGTGGCAGCACTGAAATATCAACAAAGAGAAACCCCAATTATAAACATACATAAATGACAGAGTAAAAAAGTGGAAACATTACTTGAAAAAGTTGTTCATAATGCATCCACCGTCGCTGGTACATTGACAATCGGAATCTAAACAAAAAGCCAAATGACATGAATAGAAATAAGACTAACAGATATACGGTGCAAGTCACTGTTTAAATAATGAACACTGCCAATTGCTCAATCAGAATTTTCTAATTTTAAAAGTTTAATTAATCAAAACCATTCACCCTCTAAGAGAAAAAAATTATTCTAATTCGAACGATTCTTCAGTAATAGAAGATTTCAAAAAAATAACGGTGGTAGGTCTGCCAGGATTAGTCTGCCTTATCATTACCGAATGCGATCGGTTTTGCTTAAGCCTTTTTCTCATCGCCCATAGCCATGCGCAGCCAGCGTTTCATTAAGACCAACCCTATTTCGACCGCTTCACCGCCCGTAATGCGGTTTTCGTCTTCCCTTACCCAATAGCAGTATTCCACGTTGCTAAAGTTAATAAACTTGACTGAATGATTGACTGATCAGTCGCAATGGAAGGTGCTCAAACAGATGAAACAATGATAACAAAGGAACGCGATTTGCTGGCTATAAAACTTACCGTGGTCTTCATGCTTCATTCCGAGAATATGACCAAGACTGTGAGCCATCAAAATCGCCAAGTGATACGAATCAAACTGGCTGCCCTCCTGAAAAAAATTCATTATCAAGAAATAGATTTACAAAAAAACTAGTATTGCAATCACTCAATCATATGTACAAAGAAAAAAGAAAAAACTGACGTATTTATTTAAAAGCTATTAAGAAATACTTCAGCAAATAAAGACAAAGACAATCGATTAATAAAACAGCTGAAAGACAAAAGATATCAATTAAATGACGGACGTAAAAGAAGATATACTAATTTACAGCATTCTTCAAAACAGTCAACAGTAAAGCTGCCCTGAGCGACCGTATAGCACAATTTTGAATAAATTCCCAGTTTAAAGCACTGCTGGTGTGTAAAGTATTCTGATAATCGATAGGGCTACAAAAACATTTTTGCACTATAGATTGCTGTACGAGAAATTTCTGAGCCCCTGCAATTTTTTCGCCGACTCATAACCAACTATTCTTTTCAAGCTGCGAAGACCGCTAGTCTCGTCGAGTTTTCCAATGGTCCTGGTATTCTGGCGAACTCCAATGACTCTACTCAGATTTCAAACACTACAATGCCAGGTGCATAATATATCCAACAAATGGCTATAATCTGCTCCTGACCGAAGCTGCTCAATCGGTGGAGAGTTGGACTCAGAACACAGAGGAGCAGCCAGCAGTGGCACTTGACGTTCTACCTTTCGAAGTTAGTAAGAAAACAGGAGAATGCACTCAATGCTTGTCACATCACTGCTGTCGACTCTCCCTTTAAACAAAAACGCTATGGAAATTGAGAAGTCATCATTAACGTCATGAGAAGAAAGGTGTTCGAAAGACCGACAATTCAACAATTCAAAAGTTCTTTAACTATTTTTTCGGAGGTTGGTTTGCACAACTGAGAATCAGGGCCATCTTAAGAGCGTCTCCGACAGCAATCTGATCATACGTGCAAAATATCGCAAGTTTTCAATTGTGGGCAGGCATGATATAAAGCGTAGGGATGCCTTTGAAATTTGCCTAGCCTTCCACACTACCAATTCTTCGAAGGTTCACTACTTATGCCGATTTGGAGTCGCACTGTTTTGGTTCATATTCAGCAGCACCCATGGACATATGTGAGAGAAGGTGAATGCCCAGGATGATTGCCAGTTTTCATGTTTCACATTGAGCCTCAAACGATGCTAGAATATAAATCCAAAATATGTGGCATCAGCTCTTATTTATGAAAGGAAACTACGTTAGTCACGTAGTACAAGGATTTCTAGAATTCGTTGTTGGAGCTAAACGTAGATTCAAGGAAAAGATAAAAAGAAAGGTTTGCAATCGTTGAAATGTCGGTCTTAATCACATTTATACGATGGAGCCATTCGTTTCATGACGTTAATGGTGGAGCGCTGATATTCATTTAATACAATTTGCTAGAAGTGTCTTATTTTAAAGGCAGAGTCGAAAGCAGCTATAGGGTACGCATAATGTGCAGTCTTCTCTTATCTTTCCACAAAGTGGTATTACACATTTATCAAAGACGAGTATCAGAAAACGAGTAACCTCAGGGAACTCTCGGTTATGAGTCCAACGCCACATCGATTGAGCAACCTCAGTCTGGATGCAGATTCAACCTTTCGTATTAACAATAATCATTCACATGCAAATGAACACTTCAGTATATCACCTCGTCGCATAATAACGTACCTTTACTATACCTGCCGCCCTGGCAGTGCAAATTGTGCCGGATGCAGACATGGTCGTTTCTAACCTAGCAAAGTCCGAATCCCTAAAAATAAACAATTAATTAAAGAACAAAAGGAAAAAATATATATCCCAAATTACGTCAAAAGGAGGGTGACATCAACGTTGTCGTTGAAAAGATTGCGAGAGGAATACCGAATGAAGTCGAGCAAACTCTGGACAATGTCTTCGTGGAGAATTACCAAATTCTTCGTCGTCCACGCTTCGAAACGAGTCAAAGACACTCTCGTACCAAAGTCTTGGAGCATCTGAAACGATAGCGACATTAAACATTATGTGATAAACTGGTGGTAACTGTAAACAGTATGCTCCGAAAATTTGTAATCATTGTGGATATTCAGCATCTGGGGTTCAAAAACCAATGTAGGTTATCAAATGCTGAAGTGAATTACAAGAGAGTCATTTTCCTCAGCAGCTGATGGTCATTTTAAAACGGAGGCTGCTCAATCGGTGGAGCGTCAGCTTCAGACTAAATACCGAGAGGTGCCGGGTTCGAGGATCGGTCGGATTACAGGGTTTTCCGAGGTGAATAAATAAGCACCACTTTGCAACAAGTAAAGAAACCACACTATATGTTTGCCACAAAGCTACGGTCGACTTTGCCTTTAAAACAAGGCACTATAGGCTGATGGCATGGAAACCGAGATCAGCGCCTCACGATGAAACGATAATGGCAGAAATCGCCCTAGCAATGAAAGTCTTACAGAACGGATTGGGCAAACATGACATTTCTGAATTGTAGCCAATTTCTCGAACCATAGTTGAAACGGTACCAAGAGCAGAAAATTCATCTGTTTTGGTGGTGTTGCAACCAAACGCGCTGACAGTAAGTTTTGTCATCCGTCAACTTTGGCATCCTCCATTATGCATCAATAGGTTAGCTACAGTTTCAGTAACGAACCCAGAGTCAAAATGACTAATATTCTATTTTCACGAATCTATGCACTAGGACACCTTAGAAAAGGAGATGAGCTTTACATTATAGACCCATTTGAAGATCTGACATCGTTTGTCACATACCTGAGCGAAGCTTGACGGTTCTGTGCAAAACGACGACTACTGCAGGGTTAAACACCAAGCTGGCTGGTCAACTTGATCAATTACCATCCAACCCAATCGGATAAACGTCTTCGTCATTATGTAGTCAGAATAAAACAACATTTTACATATTTGGTTTGATTTACTGAAAGTTCTGGGCGCT